AGGGAAAGAATCACAGGGGTTGCCCAGTTGCTGAGATCAAGTTCAATGTGAAAGAACGGCAGAAAATACTTGCGTTGGATCCAAGAACTGCAGGGGAGGCTCTGAGATAAGCTTTGTCGTTCAGAGCGAGCATTGCCTTTTGAATGGCGATTTTGGATAAAGGTTGGTCTCCATGTGAATTCCCCTCTTGAATTGCTCCAAGAACCAACAGAGAAGTCACGAAGATTGCAATGGCCTCTCTCATGCTTGGAAAGAATACCCTGAAACTGTTCAGAACAGTGAAGCTGAAGAACAATCTAGCAGAACTTTCAACGCCTTCACAGGAAAAAGGTCAGAGATGACTACAGAACACTTTGAAATGATGCGAGAAGAGTCGTGTATGGAAAATATCCATTTCGAGCATGTCAGGATTCTTCAAGATTCATAGGATTCGTTTACGGAATAAGGAATGGAAACGAATCAGAAAAAGATGTTCTTTTCCGTTTCTCACTTATTTACCCAAAGTGCCATGAAAACACGTACACCGATGGGGATGAATCAATCATGCTGTGCATGAATGAAGCAGTTGGATCGTCCTGCAGGTACGTTTTCAGTCGCAATCATTCCACGAGAAGTTCTATTAAAGTCGATCATAGGGAGAGAGAAGATTAATGATCCAATCACAGCTCATCATACTTTGAGCATCTGTATATGGACGGCGCTCGAGATTGAAGAAAACAGAGGTTGATAAATCGAGATTGAGCAACTGGGTTTTCATGATAATCGCACATAAGCTAGAGATAATCCAAATGAAGCAAATGGGCATCTACGATAATCAAAACTAAAATCTGGGTGTTGGTGAAAATCATAACTTGGCAAATGGGTTCGTAAGAGAATTATAGTAGTCGAATGGAACATTACCTGTGCTTCTCAGTTACTAAATCGCCATGAAATCAAATGAACCGAAGAAAAAAAATGGAAGAGATGGTAACTTTTCGGCGATTCTTGGTGACTTTGGATGTCGACGAATTTAAATGCATCAACAGATTTTCGAATATCCACGCAAAGATTCGGTATTGTTCCGATTTTTATGGCCGAAGCATTGAAAAAAAAAAGCTTATCAACTTGCTCGTCAACGCCCCGTTGTCACCTTCAATTTCCACTCCACATTCGATGTTTTATCTTTGAAGCCACTCTTCCGACAAGACAGCTCAATAACTGATGTTCACACTCAATCTAAAGTATTAGTTTCATAACTTCGAATTCTTGCTGTTTTTGTAATCTGAAAAGATGTCGGCTTTTTACGCAGAATATCCTGCCGTTACGCATATAATTATTGCCAATGGGATCGAAAAGCCCATTGCTGCTTATCCTGCCAACAGTTTCTTCCCAAAGCCAAAACTACTTTGACATACATACATACATACATACATACATACATACATACATACATACATACATACATACATATCACTATGGAAGAAGTACGATCTGGTTCTGCACAGGAATTGGGCATTACACTCGAAGGTGTGTCCACTATTCAGTTTCTCCCATTAACTGGATCAAGAACCGAGGCATCACTGCTGGATTTTCTTTGTTTCTGGTTTTTTGTGCTTGATCTGCCACCAATCTGAATAACAATTTTCTGACTTTAACATCTATACATTTCTGTATGAGCTCTCTGACATTTTTTATGAATCAAAATATACAGTGATGTTCTCTGTCTGATCTCCTCACTCATTTCCTGTGTCCTGATGATGCAATAAGAACAGCGACAGCCACTATGAACATGAAAAGCATATTGGTAAGAAGTATATATGTTCTTCTTGATGATCTCCTGTACTCTCCAAACAGCAGCATGCCCCAGAATGTGCTCACCAGTGGAAGTGCCTGAAACCCATCAAAATCTAATTATGTATGCATTGAATTGAATACATCATATACCTTGCTATCATATTATAGTTTCCTTTAACAATTTTCCTATATTGTGAATTTGAACAGACCTGAACTGCGTCTGCAGCTGCATAACCAGCAGCTTGGCCGCCCATGAACTGGAGGCCATTGCCAAACCCACAGAGAAGACCAGCCAAGAAAGACCAGCCACGGCCGTTCCAGTCATTAAGATAAGCCCTTAAGGAAGATCTTGGCAAATCCAGTACCGGCCGATAGAGAAATCCAATGTTTAACAACAGAGCAATCACAAAGCCAGAGAGTGAGAAGTAGAAGAATGCGGTGTATACTACGAGCTTAGGAACCCCATGTCTCAATGTGTGCCATTGATCATTCGTGGCCAGGTTGAATGCTGGTGAGAACAGAGAGAAGCAGATACCGGCGAAGAAAGTGACCGCCAATCCAATTATGGTGCTCTTTCCAAATACCTATAGGAGTGAGGCTGAGTTAGTTCAGGTCTAAAGTTGAGAACTTTTCACATTAGAGAGGCAAAGTCCTCACCTTTATGGATCTTCTTTTCTCAAGCTCTATAAGAAAAGCTGCAGTTCCTTCCTTTGCTTTCATCGTCATTGAGCCATTTCCGTTCTCGAGATCCTTCATTTCTATGGAAAAAAAAAAAAAACAGATTTCTCTTTGTTTAGCAGCAGAAATGATGCAAATTGGAGGAAGGGAAAATGTCAAAAGATAATACCTTTTCCCGTTTTTGTCTCCATCTCAATGGAAGAAACGGATGCCCTGATGGAAACCAAGGGAAAAATGAGAGACGGTTTACCGGATAGGTTCAGAGAGTGCATACACAGATGTGAACAAAGAAGCAATCATACTTCATGCTAAACCTTTTAAAGTCGTCTAGCTTGGCTCTGTTATCAGATGCATTGGATTTATGTACAGCCGAGCCAAGGCAAACAGCAATCAAGAAACAACCGACGCCTGGGAAAAGGATCTCTGCTCTGTTGATTTTATCATCCAAGAAATAATTTAACGTTGTGCCTGTAAGTTGTTATAAGAAAATCCAAGCGTTATTATGCCTGATCAGAAGAAGAAGAAGAAGAATCAGTCTCTCGAGTGCAAACTTCAACAATACCTATGACCACTGTGATACTCGACGTGATGACCTCTGTGACCGACAATCCAACATAAGCCCAAGCATATTGCGTTGCCAGATTCCCGAGGCTAAGAACTATTCCTCCAGCCATTGCAAACATCACAGACGGCCAGTTATCCTATTCTTTCATTACAGAAATGAGTAACACTGGCCATAACAACAAGGGGTTTCATTTCAACCTTTCGGTCTCAGAACTTCATTGAAGCAAAAACCAATGTGGGGATTCAGCCCAAAAGTTCAATCTTTGAGAGATGCCCTTTGTGTTGAAGGTAGATAGAAGCACTCACTTGAGCAATCTGAGTGATGAAATTCGGTCTGTCATTTGAACTGGGACCGATCTCGCCAAAGGTAAAAGCTATGATCACCGCGGCTAAGAAATTAGTGAAGGTGTAGTCGAGATAAGTGTGCTGAGGAAGGCGGCCCCGTCTCTCGGTAAGGGTCATAATTGCAGGCCATGTCCCCAAGAAGATCAATGCCAAGATCATGCAAGCTATTGCCCCTCCTTTGCTCTCTACTTCGTACATCTTCCATCAACAATACAATAGGATGGTCAACGTTGAGGAATTTTGTCTCAGACAAATACTCGAGCAAGTCATATGCGCAGTTTGAAGGTTAGGTTATAAGAAGAAAAGCCAAGAAACATTCTGAAAATAGGAGCATCTAATCTATATATGGATTCTTCCGCTTTGATCTGCAATTCAATACAGAACTCAAAAGCTTCTGTTCCGAAATTTTGATACTTCCGTTACAAGACATGGTTGCTATTTTGGTCTAAATCTTCAATCTTCTCGATTGCATTCAACTCAACATACACAAACAGAATCTATCAGACTATAAATTCAATAAGAAAAACATCTGAATAAGATCAAGAAACGAAAGGAAACATATTTGACGACCGCTAAACTGACGTAAAGAACAGATCTTTCAGACAAAGATCTAAGAAAAAAACCGGATTTTCAGGCGGTTAATCAGAACAACGTAAAAGAAAGGATTTTGGCAAGTGGGTTACCTTCGAAGCTGTTGTCCCACCTTTGAGGAAGAGAGAGAGAGAGAAGACAGAGGTTGCAAGAAAGATCGCAGTTTTCAAATTTTACATTTACTGGGTTCAAATTATTGGTGGTTGTGAGAATACTGGCAGAACGAGATGTAGTCAAATCACATGCATGTATCTTGTATATATACATATATATATAATATGAGTATATACAGACGAATATCGGGGTGTGTGAATTCATCGCCAGTTGTGGAGTCAACGGTATGGAAAAATAAAGGGTATGGGAATGATATTATTATCTTGCGCATTGGTTCATGAACAGTTTAACTTGTGGAATACGAAAAAATATCAGAAGGAAAATAATGAAAAAATGGAGAGAAAAAATCGAACCTATAGAATTTGTTGCGTGGGTATTGGTTGTTAGATAATTTTAGGGTTTTTAGGTATCCCTTTTTATGAAAAAGAAAACAAATATAAATAGGATACAGTTTTATATAATTCAAATTTAAATAGATCGCTATATTGCGCCGCCGAATTTTCTTGTCTTATTTGTGAGCCTAATTCATAGAATGCTATATTGCGCCGCCGAATTTTCTCGTCTTGGGAGAAATTGTGAATACCAAATATAAAAAATTTCGGTTTATATCATATTATTTAAAACCCGTTGCCGACTAAAATCGAATAATACATTTGATGGTGTGATTAATGTTACAAAAAAAAAAATTTAAATGAGCGATTTTATTAATTAATCTAGTATATTAAATCACCTCATCAGAATGAATACATAGGAAATAAGAGTCATACGTAACTTAACCTACACGTTTCTCGAGAGAATAAGCAGAAGCTTATTTCCTGTGACCAGAAGAAGCCATAAGGACAGCGACAGCGACGATGAACATCGACAGCATGCAGAAGAGGAGAACATATGTTCTTCTCGACGATCTTCTGTACTCTCCGAACAAAACCACTCCCCAGAACGTGCTCACCAGTGGAAGCGCCTGACACAAATTCATCCAAGGAAAAAAAAAAGACAGATGAATGTTTCTTGATCTTGTAGTGTACGGAAACGAAATTCAGTGGGGGTGGGATTAAAGATGATTAACCTGCACAGAATCAGCAGCTGCATATCCAGCGGCTTGGCCGCCCATGAACTGAAGTCCATTGCCGAAACCGCAGAGAAGACCGGCCAAGAACGCCCATCCACGGCCGTTCCAGTCGTTTAGGTAAGCTTTAGTGGAGGATCTTGGGAGACCAAATGGCGGGAAATACAGAAATGCAATGTTCAAGATCATTGCAATGATGAAGCAAGAAACCGAGAAGTAGAAAAACGCTGTGTACACTACGAGCTTTGGAACCCCTTGTTTCAGAGTGCTCCATTGATCATTTGTGGCAAGGTTGAATGCCGGTGAGAATAGGGAGAAGCATATTCCCGCAAAGAACGTTATCAGCAGTCCGATTATCGTGCTTTTCCCAAATACCTGAGAATGGACAGTTACATGAACATTTTGTAATTGAAAGTTTGAAACCAAGTTTTTGAGATTCTATAGGAGGAACCATGTTGAGAAAGTTTGTACCTTTATGGCTCTTCGCTTCTCGAGGGCTATGAGGAAACCTGCAGTCCCTTGTTTGGCCTTCTCCGTTGATTTCCCGTATCCATTCTCGAGGTCTTTTGATTCTGTTAAGGCATTAGATGCATTCATGGTTCATCAAACAGAGAGCGTTGAAAATTTTCAGACATGTTGGAAAGAATATCAGTTAGTCAGTTAACCTTTGGAAACTATCTCCATCTCAGTTGATGAAACTGGACCCCTGAGAGGAAATCACTGTCAGTACAGAAGAAGACGGGGAAAATTTTCCAGAACATTTTGCTCATACAAAGAACCTTACTTGAAATCTCGGAGCTTAGCCTCGTTATCAGCTGCGTTGGATCTGTGAACAGCAGATCCAAGGCAAGCAGCGATCAAGAAACAGGCAACACCGGGGAAAAGAATCTCGGCTCTGTTGATTTTGTCATCCAAGAAGTAGTTCAAGGTTGTTCCTGAAAGTTTGGAACACTGGTCGTAAAGCCCCAACACTGACAAAAATCAGCTTCCACAGCCACTGGAAACTCGAACTAACCTATAACTACAGTGATGCTTGCAGCAATAACCTCCGTGACCGACAACCCCACGAAGGCAAAAGCATATTGCGACGCCAAATTCCCGAGGCTAAGAACTATCCCTCCGGCCATTGCAAACAGAACAGAAGGCCAATTATCCTGCATAGTGATCAAAGAAAGAAAGACAAGTTACAGATAGAATACCCTTTTAAGAGTGGAAGCGTTTTGGGAGGGATGTGTTCATACTTGATAAAGCTGAGTGATGAAATTCGGTTTTTCGGGTGTGGAAGTTCCAAACTGACCGAGCGTTAGAGCAATGAAAACAGCAGCCAACAAGTTGGTGATGGTGTAATCGAGATAAGTGTGTTGAGGAAGACGACCTCGCCTCTCCAAGAGGGTGATGAAAGCAGGCCATGTCCCTAAGCAGAGCAAGGACAGGAGCATGCAGGCTATGGCCCCTCCTTTACTCTCCACCAGATACATGTTTGTTTTTTTTTTTCTCAGCAGGACGACACAAGTAAACTCTTTTTTTCCACAGCACAAATAAATTTCTTTATCAGTAGGATCTAATCAAGCAGTAGAAGCTCACCAATCTCCCATGAACTTGTGATATTACAATCAACAGAAGCGCGGAACAGATTCAGAATATATAAAGAAGCAACAATCATTACATATACATAAACCAACAACTTAACCAATGTAAGAAAAAAACCAATCCTGCAAATACAAAATAGCGTGATGAAAACATATAAACTGATTGAACAGAGACATGGGTTTTGGATTAGCCAATTGATCGACTAAATTGTAGGCAAAGGGATAGAAAAAGAAGCAAAACACTGAAAAAGAAATCATGGGTTTGATCCATCTTTCTCCATTTCTGCAAGAACATCCTTGTTTTTCAAACGGAGGTTCAAGTTCAACCATCTCTCTCCGATCAACAGAGGATTCACATATTTACGAGATTCACTGCCCATGGAGTCGGTGAATTTCTCGTAACATAAGACTTTCCAGAAATCTTGAACAATAGAAGAAGAAGAAGATATATCTGAGTAAAATGAATCTAACAGTTAGATTATGTCGACAAGGAAGGAGATGGCGGACCTTGCAATTGTAAATTATGGTTCTTCTAACATTCCGCGGCAAGAAAAAGTTCAGAACTTTAAGGTTGTGGGAACAAAAAATCAAATGGGTAAACAGAAAGACAGTACCTTTCCGAAGATCAAGGCCTCCTTTTTGATCTTTTGATTTGGAGTTACGTGAGGAGAAACAGGAGAAATATCTTAGTAGTGGATAGCTTACATGAACCTGTTGAACATGAACATGCCATTTATGTGCGAGAGAGATTCAGGGATCCGGAATCTTGAAATATTATTATGGAAAAGAGAATCCAAATTAAGAAGAGAATCGAAATTAACCCCCAAAAAATCATTGCAGAAAGGGTAAATGGGCTGAAATTTGTGTTACCGTATTTTTTTTTTTACCTGGAATATTTGTTGTAAAGATTCTTTCTTCTTTGGAGTTTTCCTCTCCTCTGTCAATGCTTTATATAAGATCAAGAACCGCAATTTCTTTTTCTTTTTAACATATCTTTTGCGTTCAATTTTATTCGTTCTTTATTGCTTATTAACGTACGAAAGCGACTGTAAAGTCAACAAGTCTACATGGAAAATAAATTTGAAGTCATCGTTGCTGCTGTAGTCAGTGGCATTTTCGTCTTCTTCTTCGACTCTTTCGTTAAATTGCAAGAGACTGGATATTTATTTGTGCGGTAAATTTCAAAATAATTAACTAATAATTTTGAAATATGTACATCCCTATTTGATATAAATTATCCTTTTAACAAGAAGGGAAAATACTTCTTATTATCAATTGAATTATTAGATTCCTTGCATGTTCCGAGGTCAACGACTGGAAAAAGGACATAAATCTTGCCCACTCAGTTCATCAATAATTGAAATCTGGGAGATAAATAAAGGGATATTTATCAAATTATATGTATATATGTATGTAATAATTCTTCATTGATCTTGTTAATTTAATTTTATCATGTGATTACTGAGAAGTGATTTTATCAAAAAAAATCATTCGAAAATTTTCACAAAAAATTATATGATTTTTTTTAATAAATATGCCAAAGAATATTTTACTTCATCTGGTAGTGGGAAATATCTTCATGTCCATCGGACAAGGACGACCATCCAAAGATTGGGTGGTGATTAGGGAAAACGACATAAATTTCACAACTCCCCCTCAAGATCCCAATAATTCAATATTTCTGACCATACTTTCTAAGATTACAAATTCCCCCCTCGTATCAGTCACCAACACTTTTACGGCACAAATGTGACGACTTATAATTATATATGTCTATAATTTTATAACCATAAACGGAAAATTGAAGGGAATAAGGTTGAATATTTGGACATACGTTGTATATGCCATATATAGTTGATGTATTTCTGAAAACAGAAAGTGATTGATCAGTCGATGAGTAGGCACAATACTCAATTTGGAAACTGCTCTCATGCAAACAGAAGATGCATATGTCATTAGAAGTCAATACATATTTTTTTTAATTTACCATTATCATTTCACCTCAATGTTGTAGAAATAAATAAATTATTGTTTTAAAAACAAAAACCATACTAAATAACAGTAATACAACGTTAGTTCTCTCAAAAAAGAATTCATCATACGAATCTAGATGGAGAAGATCGATTACGAATGATGACAGAATCTTTGAATATAATCTCTCTGATAAGTAAAGTACAATAGAAATCCGACCCACAAAAATAACGTACATGAAAAAGGTCAACGAGTTAGTGAAAGACATTCCAACAATTAAATCTCTACCATTCACTTTGTTGTTCTTTCATTTTCATTTTTCACCAATAAAGTTTTTTTTTTGTATGAGTGGGGTTTTTTTTCTTCTGAACCATTGAATCGACCGAACCCAAATCTATAATGTCTATTCCTACGGTTTGGCATATGCTTTTTGTATTTCATCATGTCGTATGGACGATGCAAGATTAATTTCTTTTTTTTTTAAATTACTTTATTCAAATTACAATAACCATTTTATATTTATTGGTATCCCCATTTGTTTCAAAGTTTCTTCTCAATGTACAACAATATACTTATTGGCCTCGTAATTTTAAAATATAACCATTAAGGGTTTGGTTAGAATATTAACCCTTCAACTTCAATTTTTCAAAAGGAATTGGAATCTTGACATATGTTTATTCATATTACTTTTAGTCAATACATTTGCATTATTTCAAGTCAATACAAGTTGCTGCAACCGTTTTGAAAAGAAAATATTTTTATTTGTTATAATTCTATTATAATATATAAAAAATCTATTTTTTTTGTTTTTCAAAAACAAATGCTAAAATTGTAAAGTATTATATCTTTTTAATAGTTTCAAATCACTGACGTAATGGCTTATATTATCCCATTATATTATATTTTAACTGCTTTGCGTCACATCCGACCCATAGCTTAAAGTCACCATAGGTAGAAATAAATTTATTATATAATTAAGAGCATGAAAAAGACCATCAAAATGCATTCAATCGTTGGACCTAAAAAAGAAACAATTATTCCAATAACGACAAAATTGCATTCAAATGACGAAAAGTCTATACAAAAATACAAATTACAATTTTAATTACTTTATTTTATTGAAGATTGACCATCTTAATAATCTGATTAAGACAAGATTAAATTTACTCCTTTTATATAGAAAACCAAACAAAAGTGTATCTCATCATTAATTTAAGGAGGACAACACCTCGTGCTCGTGGCCACAAGATGGACATTCCGGTTTGGCTTAACCGGTCATAACCGAAGTAAACCAGGGACTGAAAAGATCCGACCCGACCAGAACCAACCCAGAGCAGGGAGTGACCACAGTTCTACCAAGCGGGGGAGAGGGTCTGAACCTGCATGTCTTGAGACAACTCGTGGGCTGGTCTAACCCGAATCAACCAGCCAAAATGTTGTTATTTGTTTCACACATAGGAGGAGACGCCGACGAAGTGTAGTGAGTGATGCAAATAAATACGCACTTGTAACACTTGAAACTATGAAACAAAGACGAGAGAGGTTTTGTGGTGACCCGAGTTAGTTTCCGGCTCAGATATCGTCAGATGTGTTTATTGCCACTTGTTTGAGGAAGTTTCCAAGCAACCTTTGATCCAATACCATGTTAGGTACCTGCAATGCAACATAGAGGTTCTTCAGAGAGAGAGAGAGAGAGAGAGAGAGAGAGAGAGAGAGAGAGAGAGAGAGAGAGAGAAGGAAAAAACCTTGTTGCCGAAGAAAATTTTAGTGTTATCAGCAATGGCCTCGATGAATCTGAGCTCGAGAAATTCAGGGGTAAGCTTCATCTTGTTGGCTTCAGCTTCTTTGAGTACACTGAAGTATGATCATAACAATGAAAGTTAGATAAGAGTTTCTAACTAAATGGATCTTATTTGCCTATTTGATGGGAGAAAAATGGTTTTTTACCGATAGTAATCGGCGTCTGCAAGGCTCTTTTGACGAGCAAGGTACATCTGATTCTCGATTTCTTGTTCTCTGCGGGAACTGTCTTTCTCCATCAGCTTCTGTTCCATCAAAATCTTGCTAACTTTGGCATTTTTCTCAGCCTCACTAATGGCCATGATTTTCTTTGTCTCAGCCTCTTTCTCCGCAACTCTTTGTTTCTCCGTAGCAATCAAAACCTTCAGTACACATCATTAGGTTAGAAAAGCCTAAGCAGCAGCCTATGACTTCCTTGTCTTTCTAAAGCATGGATTCCACATGCATGGGTGGCTACAGAATCGGAAGATATAACTAAAACATATGATAAAAAAAGGCCTTACAATATGAAATGAAACACAACTTGATCGGTAAATTATACCTTTGTGCGTTCCTCTTCCATTTGTTCAAAGTTCCGCCTTACACTCTCTGGAATTTTCGGCTTTGTGACACGGACACTGATGATCTCAATTCCAGGAGCATAACGTGTGCAGTCAGCTTGAAGAGCATCTTTCATCCTTTCATCTATCTGAAAGACATCTGATTAAATTAGATGGTAGATTGTTCACTATACATAACCTTAGATGTTAAACAACGTATCGAAATTAAAGACCTTTCTAATTGGAATGTTAAGATATTCACTTACTTGATCAAAGATATCAATGTAGACTTGCTGAAGTGAATGAGAGCTGCAGAACTGGTTGATCTCATGATGAATCTTGTCATATATCCACGTATTGTCATAATTCACACCATAGTTCAACAAAGTCTCATACACATAATCCTTACGCAGCCGATTAACAACCTGAAACACACGTTAAAGTCGGTTCTTGTAAGTAAGAACACCATATGTTCTGCAGAAGTAATAACATGTGAGGAAAATATTAAGGCCTTACTTCTATCTTTGCAAATGTGATCATGACACCTCCTTTTGTACCACATGGTATATCCCTCACCTGAGGAGTCGAAGAATGGATTAGTGAAAAGCTACTAGCCAGAATCTCCAACCTTTATGGACTAAACTTACCTGATCTGTTTGGAGGGTAACTTGAACAGGCTCATAGTGGGTAATGTAGGGCAACTTCAGATGAATACCTGAGCATTATAGCTGATTTCGAGCAGGAAACAATAGAAGAAATGGAACGAACGAGACAAAAGAGGAAAGGATAATGGCAATACTAATACCAGGCTCGCTAATTGTGTTTAGAAGGGCACCCCCTCTCCAATATGCTCCAACATGACCTTCAGGAACTTGGTGCAAGATGGATGTAGGAGATATAACCTGATGATCACGACACAAGTAAACTCTTTTTTTCCACAGCACAAATAAATTTCTTTATCAGTAGGATCTAATCAAGCAGTAGAAGCTCACCAATCTCCCATGAACTTGTGATATTACAATCAACAGAAGCGCGGAACAGATTCAGAATATATAAAGAAGCAACAATCATTACATATACATAAACCAACAACTTAACCAATGTAAGAAAAAAACCAATCCTGCAAATACAAAATAGCGTGATGAAAACATATATCATGCGATGCGAGTTCCTCTACTCTGATGGAGAGAAGTCAAGAACATAGTCTGAGAGCTACTTCAAAGAAAAGCCTCTTTCAAACGTATGGAAGAGGAAAATGCCACAGCTTTATAACTCATACAAATCCCTTGAAATATTGTAGACGAGGGGAGCATGGCATAAAATTTTGCGGTGGCGATACAAAATGTGTACACAGAACTAGATTGCCAACCCATATTCCCAATGAGAAAAAACATAACCACAACACGGAAAATCAACGAAAGCACAACTCAAATTTCAGACAGAACCTCCCGCATCCGACCGCAAGTAAATCAAACGAACAGGCAAAAGAAAAATACAAGAAGGAAGAGAAGCAATTCGAAGCATCGTGAAGTAGAGGTATATCCACCAACACCGAATCTCGACACAGATTGAGCGGGAGAGAGGACATACCACGGTGAGGATGGCGATCGCGATGAAAACGGCGAGGACGGAAAAAATGGAAAAAGGACCTTCACTGGGTGGAGATGGCAGAGGACGTTGATCGGTTCCCGTCCTCCGTTGTTGAGCATCCATGGCGAATTTCGCGACGACAAGGAAGTGCACGGTCTTTCTTTTTTTTTTTGCCACAGTCTTCTTTCTCAGGGAGAGGGTGTGAACTTTTTTTTGTTTTGGAAGCGGAATTTATAGTGTACATGAGGATACATCCTCTGTGTACAGCATGAGAGAATTTAGACCGTTAGATTTATTCTCGACGATGAGATGTGCGGCTAGGATTCTTCTTTATGCCACGTCGGAGGAACTTGTACAGCATGTACCAAAAGAGTAATATTGAGGCCCACAGGAAAAATGGGCCCACGTGACAAACCACTTTTACCGTTGAAAAATGGGCCCATTCAATAAATCAACCCAAACGTGCCAGAATTTGATCAATTTTTTTTTTTTTAAATGAAGACCAGAATTTGATCATTTCGTGATAATGTTTGAAGGTTTCAATGCGAACTGTGTACGATCCCATAATTTGCTCGCATTCAAGAACTGTCTTCCGACCAATGGGTTGGTAGTTTGCTCGCATGTCATAATCTCAACCCACTTCCCAAGCTGTTTGCATATTCATCACTGAAACCTACTGATTCACCATTGATCATGATTTAGCACTTACAGTTACAGTTTACGTTGGATAGAAATGAGAAGAAGGGGAAGAAAGAAAGGAAACTGATGATGGTAGCAGTTCTCTAGATGTAAGAGCGAACAGAGAAATTCCCCATTTCCAACATTTGTAGCAGAAAACAAAACAAAAAGACCAGCAGATTCCTTCATTAATGACCCCATAATAAGAGCAGTGACCAGAAGGTGATGAGGGCATAAGGGGTGTACAAACCAGTAGTAGCGTCATTGCCTTGGTCAGTGGCTCCGGTTGGACCAAACACTGGAATAGTTCCAGGAATCACATTTGTTCCTGCATTTCTGTTTCATAAATGGTTATTACTGTGAGATTGGCTACAAGTATACCACAGGCTCTGAATTATGAGGTTTTTGAAACCAACTGCCCAATAGAAACCTCTTCGGAACCATACCCGGGGCTTGAAGGATAGACGCACCCAGTAACCACAGCTGCAAAGGAAAACAAAGAACATCCATCAAAAACCGCTCTCTTTTGCCAAAAAAGATCACAGCTTTTTTTTCATCAAACCAACCAAAGTTTGAATCTTTTAGTATCTATCCGACGAGAAATTGGGGCTGTTTTTTGGTGACTCACTTGGGGGATTGGTGCTGAGAGTGGCGGTGTTGGAGAAATTACAGCTTCCAGAGACTTGACCGGCTCTCTGGAAATAGCTGTTGACGGCCCAGTCGCAGTGGCTCTTCACCGTGTTGGGTTGGTAACACGCACCGTTTTGAAGGATGGGTGTGCAGTCTGCTCCTGCTCCACATGCATAGTCCAAGCTTGTTTGTAGCTGCTTTTCTCCTACTCCATCTCTACACAGGCAGTATGTTGCACCTGATCCAGTTCCAGAGTAAGAGAGAGAAGAAAAAAAGATGGTTTTTTTAGATGAAAAATCAAATCTTTAGGGACTTTTGAAGGAGCAGGAACAGTGAATGTATAGATAAAAAATAGGGTCTTTTGAGAAACCCATTTCAGAGGATCGTGATTGGTGGACACCCAGATGGAAAAAAACCGTCCTTTTAGAAGAAATTGATTAGGGAGAACAAAAAGAAGAATCCAAAGGTCAAGATGTGCCGCACAAAGAAGCTTACTTGAATAGCTAGTCGAGGCCAAGAGAAGAAAGAGACCCAGAAGCATTCTCACGATGATTATAACCCCAGATTCTTAAGAGGCTCCCTTGGAGAGACTTTGACCTTGGAACCAAAAGCACAGACCAAGATGGTATAGAGGAGGACTTGGAGAGAGAGAGAGAGAGAGAGAGAGAGAGAGAGAGAGAGAGAGAGATCCGGACAAGGACAGTTGAGATTACAAATAAACCTTATAAGTAAAGGTTGCTGGTTTTTTATACTACAAGCAAGCGTACACAAAAAAGTTACGGTCTGTGGTAAATCTGAATCCGTCTTTAATACGGGTTTCCATAATCATGGCTATTTTTAGTTCAAAGAAAAGGACAATTCCCTTAAATGCTTCATGATACTGTATATGTAATTACTATAATCTCCTCCTCATGTGTTCATCATGAAACACAAGAAACATGCTTCATCAGCATGATCGTGAGACGATTTAAACAGAGAGAACAATATGAATATTTAAACAAATGATACTGAGTAAAAAGAATAATGAAACAGTTTATTTAAAAAAAAATCTAAGTTGAAAATGGCACATTGGTATCACCAAGTTTTGGTAGCATAATATATATCCTTTTTTCTTTTAGCCTCTTAAGATTCTGGGAAATAGTATTGCCTTTGCCTTAGTGCTGCTCAAAGTGATCTCTCTCTCTCGTTGGATTGAGATTGAAAAAAAAACGGCTATTATTAACCCAAGTGGAGGGTCAGAACATAACCCAACATTGGTTTGTGTTTTGACTGAGTGAGTTAGTGCAGATTCTCTGTCTCTGTAGTCTGAGATGCTTTCTGACTGGGCCAAGCCAGCCATTGATTTTCATGCGTGCGCATGCATCTATTAAAATTTAAAAATCCATTCATGTTTTATAAAAAAGACTTAAAATGAGTCAAGAACAGTTGGGGATGTAGCTCAAATGGTAGAGCGCTCGCTTTGCATGCGAGAGGCACGGGGTTCGATCCCCCGCATCTCCATGTCTCTTATTTTTTAATTTTGCATTTTTACCCCTAAAATTTTCTAATTGCTCAACCTTTTTTCTTTACATCAAAAATAAAAAGTATAATTGCAGAATTCTAACACAAGAATATTGCAAAGAGCCCGAAGCACGAAAGAGATGAATAAACTCGTGGTATTACAATTCCTCCACAAAAAAACATCCAATCCAGCTCGATTCATAGGAGGGAGTTTCGAGTGAGAAGTGGAAAATGGATGAATGAAAATAATAATATATAGCCTACACACTTTCTTTCCGACCAAAAAAGAATCGTGAATCTCTACACTTTCTTCTTCTACGCCAACCTCAATCTCCATTTCTACAGCCTCCACTCCACCACCTTTTCATTCTTCTTCTTCTTCTGAGGAGCCAACTGAGAAAAACTCCAGAAATCACAGGCTGCAATCCATTCTGTTTCACAACCATACGACTAACCCATCAATCCTCGGCTCCTTCTGATGAGCAAAACCATTTCAAGATTCAAACTTTGGATTCAAACAGGTTTTGAGAGAGGGAAGGAGGGAGGAGCTTTACCCGTTTGAGAAGACTGCTACTTGTCACTTTTTCAGGAAGGGCTTCTGACAAACAAGAAGCCGCTGGTCATTGCCGCCCTGAAGGTCGATGACCCGTGCTTCCCACCGCACTCGAGTAGCAAGTTCCCTCCCCATCTCTATTACTCCCACCTTGTCGCTCATAACAACCCATCCCTGCCATCCCCATCATGAAAAGTTTTCATTTTTATTTCTCCACTAACAGGGACGGCTATAACAACATATACAAAACAATAGACAGAGAGATATGTATACCTCAGGGCGGAGAATCCGGTCCATCTCCAAGAACAAATCCATCATGCTGCACCTTTCTGAACTCAGATGGGTGAGGAGTTCATTGGCATGAAGCATATCGTATGTTCGGGGATACGTGGGGAATGGTTCACACCTAATCAATGATTAAGGGAAAGGTGACATCCATAAATGATTGACCGGTCATATGCTTAATGGGTGAGGAGTTCATTCACTATTCTCTATCTTCAAGACTGGTCAGAGCTGGTCGAGAACACTTCTTGTTTGAGTTCTAAAGCCAACTCTCAATCTCTGTTTTATGATTAGGTAGTTTAGAAAACACTTAGAGAAAGATTTTCAGATGAAACACACTCACCAGTCATGAAGAACACCGGCAAAACCACGATCAATAATTATAGGAAGAGTATTACGGGCATTTACTGGGATCACGTTCATCACCCATGCAGATTTTCCTTCCTCCACAAGGGCCGAATTCAAATTCCCATAACGCGCATTCATGTCCATCACATTGCGTACCATGTTGAAAGGCGGAAGTGGATCCTCATCTCCTGGTCTCTTCGGGTGGTCCGAGAAAATTAAAGGTGTAAGTAAAGACCAATAGTTTTTCAGGGCTAGTCTCCATACTTGCATGTCCTCGTAGAATTCTTCAGGTTTTATACCTGTTCAAATAAATATCCAGAAAAAACAGTAAATGCTTAATTAATGCCAGAAGTACAAGTGAAAATTCATTTGATGAAAACAAACAAATAATTCTCGAACTGATCCTTTCCATGAACTTCGAGCTCTGCTGAGCTTGTTCCTGAAGAAGCGGATCTATTCTGAATAGGAATCCAACGGTTGCTTGTGGCTCCACTTATACATGAAACTAGGGGCCGATAATATGAAGCATGATCTTCATCTTTGCAAAGAGGTATAGAAGCTGGTGAGCTACACCAAGTATGGAAGAAAGATAGAAATGAATCAGTGCTGCTAAAAGGGTAGGCCACCACAGAGAATTCAAACTTAATCACCGAACGAGATATATATCAAGCTTCATTAGGTAACTTGTTTCTAGAGTTTTCTATTTCCATATGGAAACAAAACTTAGAAGATGCTCAGACATGCCGAAAGTACCCTGACCAACAATACTCACCGAGAAGAATAGCAATTTGAATCTGCAGTTTTCTGCCAAAGAAAAGTTTCATCCTGCTGAGCTGTGAGACTCCAGCAGATATTCTTAGAGAACTCTTCAACCCGTGTTGAGATGCTTGGTTTCTTAGTACTTGGTAAATTTCCCTGTGATTGGCTCGTAAGAGAAGTTAAAACAAAGTATCCACCTGGCTTGAGAAGACGATCCACTTCTAAGAGTAGCATTGCATCTGCTCAAGAGAGACGAACGAAAACAAAGCAACATCATCCTATTGAAGAATCCATTTTGTTCTCAGAGTTTAGAAAATGGCTGAGTGAACAGATTTCCAACTCATAGAATAGGACAAGAAACTCATGCTTCGAACTTCAGGAGATACATTTCGAAGATAAAACTTGAAGTGTTACCTTTTATATCCCAAATAATGCCACATTGAGCACAATGGACCATGTCAAATGACAAATCTGGATATGGAAGCTGTTTTGAAATGAAATTGCCAATCATGGCTGGAAGCCCTCTTTCTAGAGCTAACTGGACTTGGCTGCCAGTAGCCTCATACTCTGCAATACAGATAGGCATCAGCTTCAAAGACACAAGATGTGCTCCAAAGCTACCAAAGCCGCAACCAATGTCAAGCACAGTCCGTACCTGCAAGAATTAGGAGAAAATTAAGAGTGTGACAATAAACAGATGCATGATTTCAAAAGCTGGAGACAAGAAGCTAACAAGTAGGATGATACGAATAAGAAGCAAGGAATACTTACGCCTGCTTCGAGAAATTCAGTGTCGCTTCCCAAGCCTATCATCTCTGCAACTTGACGAGCATAGTCTTTTACACCATCAAAGATCAAACCATCCTCAGAGTGAAACGCTATTTGATTCTCTTCAAGCAGCATTAGCCTAGAGACATACATAATGAAAAAGAAAAGAGCATAGAATAGAAACACAAAAGTTGTGAGCTTTATGGTAACCGGATCAATGTTATTTGAAGCAATTGCATTCAAAAGAAGCACCTTTTTGTCATAGTTCCTGATGAAAGAAACTGATCTTTGGTTATCTTCACATTTCCACTCCATATAATATCTCTACCGAGTGGCCATCTAAGGGGTATTTTATAGTCCTTTGGGGGACGAACTACACATCTTTCCTCTTCTCTGGCAAGCTCACAGTGCCGATCAAACTCTTCACCATCTTTAAGCCCAGCAAGCATATTGGCTGATACATTATAACAAGGCACATAGTTTTCCTTTTCTTTACCACACAGAGGAAACTCTTTCAGCCGGCTAGCCCCGAAAGAGAGAGACCTTAGATCCAGATAATCAACTGCTGCTTGCTCTTTTATCCTTCTGTAGTTTCTATGAAAGTTGGGTAGCCGTTTTGAAGTTGCAGAATCATATGAACTGGATGAAGATGTTCCTAAAATGGTAACTAGAGCAACAACACCGATAACAACTAGCAGCAACCAGCTAATCCGTGGTCTAGGACCGAGAACAAGGGGAAGACTCTTATACCAGGAACTTCTCATATCAAAAAATTGTTCTTTATCCCGTGTACCAGCTGCCTCAAAGACGAACTATTGCCTAACAAACACCTGTCATCCGCTTTTCTTCATAAGGCACAAGCTTCTAACAAGTTCCAATGCATCCGTACATAGTTTCCCATACTTCACCGCAATTGCTTGTTTCAAGCCATCCCGATTCACATCTAAGGAAACACAAAACGTCAAAAGGAGTTCCAATAATAGAAATTATGATCAGTACCCACAAACTCTAAGTTTCACCTCTATGGATCAAATTAGAAAGAACACGGCAAATGTACGTAGAAAAGAGAACCAGAACGTATGCCCCTCGTTAAACCTCGATTTAGCCAATTGAACACAACTCGGGAATGCGTTCGTCTATAGTGCGGCCACACATTTCTACAGTCTCGCTCCCCCCAAG